ATAACAAAATGAAAATATTTCTTTCTTTTAAATCGGTAGTTTTCAGGTGTTTTAAGAACTGTTTGTCGTGAAACCGCTGTGTCAGAGATTGAATGTTAGCTTTGTATTTCCTAATCTTCGATCAGAAATACAAAATAGATGGTAACATTCAATGAATACAACACCCACACGACCAAGCAAAACAGGACCACAGCTAAATTATCAATGAAAACATTAATTTCAGGCTTTCAAGTGGTAAATAAAAAGAATAAACAACAAAAATGAAAAACAGGAAGAAAGAAGAGACAAAAGTAAAGAAAAGTAAAGGTTTTCGTGCTATAAAGAAAGAAAAGCAGCGTTCTCTCCCTAACTTATTTATGCAATGAAATGCATCCGATCAATATTTAGCCATTGTAGTTTTTGAAACCAGTCACTCGTGTTTTCAAAATAGTCGGGAAATGAACCCGACTTTTTTTATCAAAACATTTACAAAACTATTAACAATGAGTATGCCATGATAAACAGGCTATAAGGAGTAAAAACAATGGTTTATATATGCATTGCCCTTTACCGTCTAGGAGTTGGAAGTATTATAAAACATAGTTTAAGCAATGGTTGTTGTATGAGGTGAGGTTAATAATATCTTACTGAATTCTTAAAGTTACTTTTACTTACCTGCCCTTCACATTTGTCTTGCTGTATCGTGATTTTGTTTGTTTCGTTTAACAGTCGGGCATACTTCCTGATCGGGAAACAAGGGGATTCCCCTTCGAGGCTTCCCGATCAGGCAGCAAACGTCAAAATCCTTCCCGATCGGGAAGTTTATTGGCCTTTTTTTACGTAGTTCAGGAAAAATGGCCGCTGCATAACAGTTCTCAATACACTTCAATATGAATATCACACTTTAGTTCAGAAAAGATACATCTAAAATCCTACCGAGTCATTTTCTTTTAAAATGTCTACAATTAAAATAATCTGAAAGTGAATTAAAGTAAAGTTTTATGATTTTACTAAAAAGTAGCTGCTTCCCGTTTTGGAAACACTGCTTCCTGATCAGGCATCTAGCAAAATAGACACCATTAAAAGTTTCCCGTTTGGGATACATTGCTTCCCAAATTGGAAGTACACTATATTTTATTAGTACCTTGTTTGCAAATCTAAAAATTAGAAATGGCCAAGTCTGGTCAGTTTTCAAAGACATGTGGCACAGAATTCAAACATGACGAGTGGAATATATCTGGTGAAGCGTGTGTACTTGTGAGGCGTACGATACCTATAAAAACTTTAGCTTTACTTGACGGACAGTACAAAAATCATAATTACAGTACAAAAGTTTCGTACTGTAAAGATTGTATAGCACATGTTGAGAAACATTGCACAGAGTGTAATATTCCTAAACAATTACCATGCATCTCAAATAAGACAACCGTTGACTCGAGCACACAGACGGATGGGGAAACTTGGAAGTTGATATTTGAAGGTAATGGTTTTAATGTGCAATATTTCGTTGGCTATAGCTCCTCAAGATGTGTTTACATACTACATTGTAGTGACTGTGTCATATTTCTGTTTTATGAAACTTAAGCCACGTTTAATTAAAAATAATTTGGGAAAAATATATAATAAAATGTAAAATAAAATAAATAGATAAAATATAGCTTACTCTATTGAATATCTATGAATATTTCCTTTATATATCAACTATTTAGGGGAACGTTGGTCTAATGGCTAAGGTGTCTCCCTCTCAAACCAGGGGTCGTGGTTTTAAGGCCTAGACGGAGCACGTTCATGTTTCCTCAATAGACACCAGTACTGGTTTGTTCCAGGAAGTGGAATAACATAAGTTTCAAACTAAATATGTTTAAACTAACTAAAATGGAGGAATATTTATTGCAGATTTGGAGTCCCAACAAAAGGAAGAACTAGCATACAAGCTTGCTAAGGAAGAATCAAAGGCAATTCTTGAAGATTGTCACAAGCTATCCTGTATATATAAAGACCTTGAACAATTAATAAATCTCAAGATAGATGTTTATAGCAGAAAATACAACAAAGTTGTATTGGCCTTTCTCAATGGAGTATCTTCTGTCAATAAAACAACCGAAAATGAGGTAAAAATTTGCCTCGCTCTTGAACAAATTTATGGACTTACTCATAAATACTTTGTTTCTCCTCTGTCATTTGTGAATAATCTTATACAGTTTCAGTCAACTCAAAGTAAGATGCTTCTCAACATGAATTCAAAGCTGTATCCTGGTGGCAGTTACTCGACTGTTACTAACTGGCTAAGTTCTCAAAGTGTTCGGAGTCCTGTATATCCACAACATGATTGCATAGTTGCTTTTGACAATGATCAGATCGTTGGAAAAACATGGAATGTTAGAGCTAATAACAAAGTTAATGTCTCTGTTGTTACATCTATGTGTGCAGTTGAATTTGAATCAAAACAGCAGTTTGATCATTCTATACATCCTAAGTTATGGTTTAAATATTCTGATTTCACAGAAAGATTATTAGATATAAGAAATCGTGAGGGTAAAGTTTACGATTTGGTATATGACACCCACTATAGACAACTGTATATGAATTTGGAAGAAGCAATAATTCTCATTTATAAAGAACAAGTCGCTGCTATTAAAGATGACTATTTCTTTGATGATATTGACCAGTCCATTGCTGACGAACCAGGCATGGACCAAATCAAATGTTTGCTTTGTGGCATGCAATTCAAAAAGTCAAAAATAAAATGCGATAAATGCCATGTTAACATAAGGGAAGTACATAAGCAGTTGATTACTCCTAGTCTCAGTAAAACTTATAATGAGCCTAAAAAAGAAAACCAGTTGAAAAAGAATATAATTTTACTAAAAACATCTTCCAAAACCAGACTGCAAAACACCAATAAATGAACATAGAAATATTAAATTCCATGTTCTTGACCCTGTTGAATTGAATCCTAATTCTTATGAATCTATTAAATTTGTTTTACGTAAAATTGGACTGGAAGCTGGCATTAGACGGTATAGAATTGGCTCAGATGAATCTTCCACTAGAGATTGGATTTTTGTGATGTGTGATGGTTTACCTTATTCAATTGCACACAAGTTAATCCACGATAGCTACTATTGTGTAAAATGCTATGAATCTATTTTGGGATATGAATGTTTTAAATTAGATAGTATAAAACATCATAATGGTGAAAATACACAAATTGTTTATGAATTCGATTGGGTTGTTTTACTTATCGGCAAAGGTCATTTTGAAATGAACATGATCAAAAGTTTCTTCGAATTAAATTGGGAGCCTGTATTCAAGCAAATAGCTATATTGATGGGTTTTAAAAGTGAAAGAGCATTAGCCTGTGCAAAACTCTGTACGGACAACCACAAAGTATGGCAAATGTTAAAAATATTTTACTTTGGTACTTTGTATGAGTTGCTTTTGCCTTACATCAGATATTGTATATCAAATGATATAGTTGCATCTCCGGAGGGATATATAAACTGGTGTAAGACATGCAGAAGTCAAAGATATATCTATGTGCATGAGCAGATACTAACATACTGTCAAGCTTTGCTTAATTACAGACAAGGACTTCGTTTGAACAAATTTGATTTAGTTATTAGAGGCAAGGAAATGTTCTCAAATATATTTTTTGGACGAAATCATGTTAAGTATCAGTACATATCAATTATGGAAACTTGTGACTATTTTTTATACCCACAAGAAATTAAAACATTTTTGGAAGGAAACTGTTCATTTGATATGTCTTCTTCTGGCTGTAAGGGTGAAGATTTAGATTTCAAATTAGAAACAGTGAACAAAAAAAGTAAATCATGGATAAGCGGAGTTCCTAACTTTGATACATGGCTGCGAATATTTCGTAATTTAGACAGACTTGATATACTTCGACAATCATTTATGAACACAGTTGGATTACAAAATGAATCAGATACATGCGTTGTTAATCAAGAAAGCGCCACAGAATATAGAAAGGAAATAACAGTATGGAGAGAGGCATTAAGACGGAAACTCTATCTGTCAACGCCTTTGGAAGAAACTGAGTTCATATCAGTTTCTGGGGAAGTGTTAAATCCCGATTTGATCCATTTTACTGAAATGGCTAAAATAAATCGGTGATTTTGTCAGGAAACACAACTGAACCAATCAGAATCAAACGAATTTGTGTAACATTAGCTGAGCGCCAGAATGATGAATCAATTCATAATCAGACTAAAGAGGTTATTTTTACAAGAATCGAAAACAGTTTAGAAAGGATTGAAAGTGATGAAAAGAAACAAAATCTTTCTAAAGTGTTTGAGTCTATTCGAAGCAAAACGAAAGATGCATTGATAAGTTTTTATTCTCAAATACAAAATGAAATAAGTGAGGAGTTTTCTGACAGTGATGATTAAACAATGTTAAATAAAATGCTTAATAAAAATTAAAGAACAAACTATCAAAGCACAAAACAACTACAAAAACAATACAACAAATTTTACTTTAAATATATTAAAACATAGTACTTGCAATGTTGTCATATCAATTTAATAAGTCTACTGTAGTTTTGTTTTTAAACTTCCTAACAAATATACCAGTCTCATTTATTAGCTTCCCAAGCCGTAAATCTTCTTTTATTAAAAACAATACTTTAAATTTTACATTTAGAAATACAAAATTTATAATAATTTCTTAATAATATCTTTATGTGCTTCCTTAGCCTAGCTTTAATACAATATTTTACATTGTTTAAAAATTTACATTAAAACAATACTTTACATTTTACAATCAAAAATACCAAAATTACCATAATTTCTTAATAATTTCTTAATGTGCTTTATTAGCCTTTAATACAATATTTTGCATTGTTTAAAATTGTACATTATTTAAAACATATAAGACCAACATCTGATTTCAAATGACTATCAGAGAACATAAATTGAACAGCGTATTATCGAACATCATATAAAAAATGAGCATACCCAAAAAGGGTACTTAAATGCTTATTAATATTACAGAAATATAAAATACTGAACTGGTGTGTGATTAGAATTGTTACTTCGAACACATGTCACGGATAACAAGTGTTAAATATGCTACAAATATTTGTGTTACAAATTAATGTTTACCTTTACGTTTTACAACTCTATTATGTGTTGCATTGTTTTTCTCTTTTCTAGTGTTTCTTGTCTTCTTTTCTTTTATTTTCTCAATATTTTTGTCTTTTGACCTCTTTTCTTTTGCACATTTATTAAAAAGTCTCCTACTGCTCTTCCTGGGTGGTGAAACAATAGAATTTGTTTTTTCTTCTTCTGATATATTTGGCTTGGTTGATCTAAGATTGGATGGGAGGTATGACTGGGCCGTTAATGGTCTACTTGGTGATGGTTCTACAATAACACAGCGGTCTGGATTTTGCTTCACTGTATATTCTTGGTCGGTTTTATGTGATTTTAAACCTTCTTGACAGAACTTGTCTTTCAATTCACCAGAGCCATAAAACCATCGATTCCCATCTTTGTCTTGAACAAGACAAAAAACATCTGATCCTGTAATGGAATGTTACTCATATGCCTTTTTCAGCAATGTCGGTCTCCTTTTACACAAAGAAATTGATCGTTTTCGATTACTTGGCTTAAAGGATATGTCTACTTTTCCAGAATGATGTTTCATTTTAGTAGACGCATAGCTGTGGCCATGTTTTTCGAAGTCATTTACGCTCAATTCATTATTTTGCAGACATTCATTTCCCAAACTTAACCCACTTTGAGCTTGATTATTAGATGTCTCCTCAGATACGACTGTTTCATTGCCAATAGGTACATCAAGATTTGTCACAGTAAAACTATCATCATACTCGATTTCTGAATAAAAGGAACAATAATTTTCATTCATATCTGAACATGTCTCACTGTTGTCATTCAGTAATGGAATGGTAGATAACATATCATTATCATGTGTCATTGTTTCATCTGGCCTCCCTGTCAGTAACTCGCATAATGCTGAAGCAGCAGACGTGTCCTCAGATTCCATTTTCTAAAATATAAAATACATAAATTTATGTAAATCCATTCGTTTTCCCGATCAGGAAGTATTTGCATTGACTAAAATGGCTGTAGCACATGGGCCAGGAGTAACGATAAAGTTTTTTTCTGTTATCAAAGGGTATCATAACTACAAGATAAAGATGGAACATTCTAAACATTACAAGTGTCAACAAGAACCAGATAACTGTATTGACAAAGATGCAGTTGTTGTTAAATGCTTGGAGTCTGGAAATACTGTCGGACATGTGCCTTCAAAACCGGTGAAATTGAACAAAAAAATTACACGCATCCTTCAGCTAGATTCTACTATAGAAATTTACTGGTATGTTCTGTTTATTTGAACATCAACATTATTGAGTTGAAAGCTTATGTATATTTAAAATTGAACGAAAAGAAAATTCATGCTTCTGTTACATATTTCAGTCAGTCATATGACATCCCAAGACAAAGTGCTCATCCCTGGCCGCTTTGCTTCCAGAAAGGTGGAGGTGTTATCCAGCCAGCAGTTTATTTAATTAGTACACCATTTCGATATGAAAGACAGATATTGAACATATTAGACGAGGTCGCAGATGAAAACCAGGATATCTACAGTCAAATGTCAATAACAGTAAGTATATATGAAAACAATTACAGATTCATATAACCATTTAACATTCATTATTTACCTTGCTTTCCTGCAATTATCTAAATATTTGTTTGAGAGTAATCTTCATGCAACACTTATTGCTGTTAATAATTTCAGACTGAACGAGATGGTGAGAAGACGCCGCCTATGATACTATCATCTGTATCTGGACATCCAGACACCCCAGACTACAAAACATGCACACCCTGACTGTTGATCTCTTGTAAAGGAAATTAATAAAAAATACTTACTTTGTATGTTGTTATCACTGGTTATTGTCCAAAGCAATTTCCAGAATATCAAGAAAAAAACTTCCCAAACGGGAAACTTTAAATGGTGTCCATTTTGCTAGATGCCTGATCAGGAAGCAGTGTTTCCAAAACGGGAAGCAGCTACTTTTTAGTAAAATCATAAAACTTTTCTTTAATTCACATTTTAATTGTAGACATTTTAAAAGAAAATGACTCGGTAGGATTTTAGATGTATCTTTTCTGAACTAAAGTGTGATATTCATATTGACGTGTATTGAGAACTGTTATGCAGCGGCCATTTTTCCTGAACTACGTAAAAAAGGCCAATAAACTTCCCGATCGGGAAGGATTTTGACGTTTGCTGCCTGATCGGGAAGCCTCGAAGGGGAATCCCCTTGTTTCCCGATCAGGAAGTATGCCCAACTGTTTAATTTGAAAGAAAGTTAGGGTTTAAAAAACAACAACTATATAATCAGTTTTAAGTTTATTTCACTAGTCACGGCAATAACCCTGCTGTGGAAGCTTGACTATGTCGGGGGCTGCGTCATGTGAACGTTGCCGTCGCCTTGATTGTCTTTATTCCAGTTTTCCTTTTTTACTCTTATAACGCTCTCAATTTCTTTTCCACCGGGAAGCTTTCAATATATTGGTAACATTAAAGCACAGCTCAATTGACCCATCACTAGCACGGAGGCCTTCCAATAAGAAAAAATTTATCAGGATATCTGCTAAATCAATAATGATAATAATAATATTAATAGAGCCAGATTGTAACTCTTTTCCGACTTACCATGTGCATGAAACAGGTATCAATTACCTATAGTTTTGAATGTCTAGATCAAAACATAGTAATCTTTTCATCAACAAAGTTTATATCCAATGCGGATAAATATGCAAGTATGTATGTAAAATGATAAATATTAAATTTCAGATCTATCTAGCAAAGGAGATCGATTTTTTCTTTAAGAATTTTAATTATGTGCACTAGACATACATTAGAAATATTATCTAATAAAGTTGAAGCCTAAATGTCCTATAATGAGGCCGGATTCATTCTCTATTTAGCCAGTGCTTTCAGTGCTTTGATCAGAGTTAAAGAGAAAATTCTGGAATAACATTCTGTGTGTGCGTGTGATTTTTTATGCTTACAATACTCAAATTCATGTTCGTTGTATAAAAGGTATTACGAAGTTTTTTTTCCTGAACGGGTGTCAGATAAACCAAAGTGACCTTTGAAATAGGACCCATTACACTGATTGACAAAGTAAATTTTCTTAGCCTAGATATCATGATATTTTAACCATTACGAAGTTAATACATAATATTTAATAATTACACGAAAGCTCTCAAATTAACATAGAATATTTGTAAAATTTGTGTATGTCAGTTTCGAACTCCGTACGTTTAGCTAAATTCATCATTGTAATGGAGAAAAAAACATGATTACAACAATGTAATGCTTTAAATATATTGAAATTGCTTTTGAAAGATTTTTCTCACAAGAACATATGTGAACAACAAGAAATTTAACAAACAAAACCATTATTTGCTTTTAAATTTATGGATTGTTGGTATATTCCGGTTTCGCACTTTCGTTGCTGCCGATACACAAAAAATTCTCCTTTTCGCTTTTTAGTCATCCCGAGAATCATCACGTGACCGTTGTTTTTATTCAGATTTGCAAACTGAAAGGTGTTTAAACGCTTTTCCCACAAAATTGGAGAAAATATGTATTTCAAACGACTTGCCAATCCAAAGAACACATATCAATGTATCACTGATTCTGTTTGAATGTCCCTAACTCGCAGGTAGCAAAAAAATATCGGTTCGTGAAATTTTACTTTTTTTTGTGACATTCGGCCGTACCTCAGTGATGATTAAGGTGACAACGGAGTCAATTATCACTGAAAAAACCTAAAATGAGATTTTTTGCTTAGTAGATTTATCAACCATTTCTGAACACATTCGTGATTTAATTTTGGAAGCAGTTAGTCCAAAAAATGTGTTTTTAAACGTTTTTAAACGGTACCTGTACCATTTTTATCTGCTATTCGCGTAACCTGTCAATTATCGATAACGCTCCGCCCCCTGTTGAGGCATCAATGAGGGAAATCGGTAGTTCCATATATCCGTGAATTACCGGTCCATACTGGTCCATACTACTCGTAATTCATGTATCGTACAAATACCGTACATCTTTTATGAATATCGTCTACCTTTTATTTAGCATTTTTTTTATAAAATAAGAAATTGTCGGCCAATGTACGTAACATAATGTATAAAACATAAACAATTAAGCATAGCGGCAAATCGCACGACCACGGGGTTGTTTAAAAATATGCATGGTTGCTAAAATATCCATAATGTGTGAAAATAATTTGTCTGTCCCGTTAATCTGATAGATATTACATTGAGTTTATGGACTTTTGAACGGATTCAATGGCTTGCTTTACATTCAACCTCGTTTTCTAACAATGTCAAGTAAAACAACAACAAAAACAGACAACTTTTTTATGTGAACGCCTATATGACTTGCGGTACGGTGTCCCTGACAAATTTCTTAACCATTTTAGATTGTTTAAGGATGATTATTTCTCTATGAATCAATAAAAAAATATTAATATATATTATCAGTGTATGCTTTGAATAAATTGTTCGCCAGTAAATCGAACACAGTACTAATAAACCTGGGACAAAGTATGGAATTATTGTATACCCCAGTAGAAACTGGATCTCTATGCCGTGCGTAAATGATTTTCATGATAATAGATGTCAAGAAGGTCAGATCATAATTATCGAGTGATACCTTTAATTTCTATTAAAATATGTCAAGCATTTATATCAATTTGGAGGAAAAAATATATAATATCCCGTTCTAATTTGTACATCTACCATGGACTTTAAAAGACCGTCAGAAGCTAAGTTTTTTGTTATTTTAATTTATATTTTAACGGAAATTCATACACCAATACACAGACAGAGTGACACTGGTATAATATAATAATAATGCTGATGATAATAATAATAATCTTCAAACGTGAAACAATTAAATACCCCGCTAACGGTGCGCAAATACGTTCCATTCCCCCCCCCCACCGAGTGCCTCAAATTTTACCGAAAGTCACGTGACATGTGAGACCGTTACCAGACGAAAAGTAAATCACGTTAAAATTTGAAGAAATTTCTGTAATAAACTGATATTAATCAGCAAATTTTTAATTGGTCAGATGACACTCGGTCATAAAATGTTGTTAGAGTATGTTACCGCAACTTGTGACCCTCTCTGGTGCGATATTTGTGTATTATGCAATTATTTAGCGTGAAACGTAGGGGTCCGAGAGAGAACAGCCGATTTATGACACTTCGTTTGATGCGGGTCGGACTAACTTTGAATCGGCATAACTTTTTTAATAATCAAGCAATTAACATGCGGTTTAAAGCACATGAAAGGGAATTTATTTACGGAGGGAACCGTGTCAGGGATTTTTGTTTGCTCAATCAGCGACTTAATTATCTTTAATTACGTAATATGTATGGTGAAAAAAGTCGTATAAAATGTTTGACGTTACGTAATATTTTTTTGAGAAAAGATGGAAAAAAATTTGAGACACGGTTCCCCAGATATTATAAGTATGTTTATTTTCCAAAAGTTTTATGACAAAAAAATAAAAAATGACTTTGATATGACGATTTAAAATTTTAGGATTTTTATTAAAAATCAATCATTTACAAAGGCATTTTTTTCAAATATGTTATTTTTTATGATGATCAACGACATTTAATGCACAAAGATTAAATAAATAATAATTATTACTAAAATAAGTTGGTTTAAATGACATTTATGTGAGTACCACGGAAAGTGTCTGTTATCACCTTAATAACAATATTATATATACTATTCCAATTGCATTATACAAGGGTCGAAATTATTTTAAAACACTCAGTTTTGTTACTTTATGTGATTGTTGTAATACTTTTATTTTTCATTATATTGTCCGTTTAATTTAAAGCAATAGCTTCATGTACTGTCATTTGTTCAAAATTTTCCCAGTCGTGGTCAATTAAAACGCAATATGAGGAATACTGAAATATGACTTAATCGACGTACTAAATTTTAATCTGTACTACTAATAGTTATTTCTCATTATTTGATTTATTTTTATGCCCCCACAAAGTGGGGGCATATAGCGTTGCACTTAAACCGGATGGCAGATTTTGCTTAAACTCCCAGGGATGAACAACCTTAATGGGTAGATGGTAGTAAAGGAAGGAATTTTTGCTGCGACCAAATTTAACAGAATTATGGCCCTTTGTTGATTTTTTCAATATATACCTTATAGAAATTTTGTGAACGCAACTCCTCTTAAACCGGATGGCAGATTTTGCTTAAACTTCCAGGGATGAACAACCTTAATGTGTAGATGGAAGTAAAGGAAGGAATTTTTGCTGCGACCAAATTTAACAGAATTATGGCCCTTTGTTGATTTTTTCACTATATACCTTATAGAAATTTTGTGAACGCAACTCCTCTTAAACCGGATGGTAGATTTTGCTTAAACTTCCAGGGATGAACAACCTTAATGTGTAGATGGAAGTAAAGGAAGGAATTTTTGCTGCGACCAAATTTAACAGAATTATGGCCCTTTGTTGATTTTTTCACTATATACCATATATATATGTTGTCAGTGGAGGCATCCGTGTCCTTTGGACACAGTTCTAGTTATTTCATAAAAAGGCTTTCTTTTTAACTTGAGTTCATGAAAACGTCAAAGAACACTTGTACGTTTTTTATCTAGCCGGTTTTTATCTCATTCCCCCTGTTCTATAAAAATGTTGCGTCTTCAAAATATGAAATAAAACTCCAGACTTTGGTGAGCAATATTTTATGGTAAAACAATAATGCTATTTCCTATAATAATAATTATGTTATAATGAGAATTTTAATTAAAATTTCTGATGTATACTGTATTTGTAATTAAAATGTAACGTG